CGATTGCTAAGCAACGGCAACATACACTCGCAGCGGCGTATACAGAAGGAGTGCGAGATAGCAATCGAAGAATGCGTCGGAGAACCTTTTTCAGAGATTAAGATTTTACACGAAATACTCGCATTCCTGTTATCCGAATGAATCGGCGAACGCGTAAGCGGAAGCATCCGTATAACGCAGTGCAAATAAAAAACGCGTGTCTATGTCTTTATGAGGAGGCGAAAGATGAGATTGAAACCGGTGCCAGTGGTCGGGACAGCCACTGATACGCCGGACTATAATGCGAGCAGCGTAAGTAAATAGACAATTAAACAGATGCAGGCTGCCTTCCGATGCCGCGCGTTAATTAAGTGCGGAATGAAGCGAGCTTTAAATGAGAAAACCACTCGGGCATTCGTAATCCCGGCTCGCGAGTTGGATAAAGCTAGTGGAAGAAGCGAGACCGAGATCGAGAGCGTTTTAAAACGCGTGCTCGCGTGAATAGAGATAGACGATCCCCGCGGTGGAATCGCTCCCGAAAAATCTGTCCAGCTGCAGTTGAACAGCCTGTATACGCTCATTTCCGAGGACGGTTTAGGGTAACCTCGTCGATGGCCGAGAACGACGAGGTACACGCGTTATTACGTCTTTCATGAGAGTCAAATAACGGAAAACGGGACGAGGGGTTGGGAATAGGTCGCGTGGGGTGGAGGAGGTCGGAACCGTAGCGGGCAATATGTTCCGAAATTGTTTTACTCCGGCCAGGAGCAAAGAAAAGATAAAAATGTTCCCGTCGTAGCTACGTCGCGCTGCTTCCTGCCCCGCCGAGCGCCGCGGAGTAACTTTTGCGGGATGTGATGTGGAAAATTGGATTCAAGTTTGGGGCGGAGTGTAACCAGAAAGGGACAGCACGTCCGAGAAGAAGGGGGAACGAGAACTGGGCGAAGAAGAAAGCCGCTCGAGAAAGGAGGGAACACGAAGACGGAGGAAGGGTTGCCGAAGACGACGAAGGTGGAGGACGCGGAAACGGCGAAAAGAAGACGGGGGATGAAGCACCGAGAGAAGTCTAGAGAAGGAATAGGAGAGGAGGGCAAAGACACGAGGAAGAGGTTAGCTTCGGAGCAAGGACAGGCTCCTTTTATTGTATCCTCGCCCACTTACCCTCCTGTCGTCTCACCCCCGTGTTTCCCAACCCTCCGCCCCCCACCTAGCGTGTCTGTTTTCCTCCTTCGACCCTTTCCGTCCCGTGCGTCATTCTCTCTCGGTTCCCCGATACACACGCGGCTGGTTCGTTCGCTGTGAGCCACTGCATCCCCTGCACGTACACGTAAGAGACTACGCTTCACGGCTCGACCTTACTTCTCGTGTCTCGTCTACGATTTTCAACTCGACGAAGCGGTTCGACCGAGTAATTCCCTGGTGGCCGGAAGCAGAATCTCTCTCTCTTACTCTTTCTCTCGCGTTTTCCACCTACTCCGCCTCGGCGTGCAGCTGCACTTCCTCCGTCGTCATCCACTGACTTTTAGATGCGTCCTTCTCTTGCCTCTTCGCTCGCTTCTTCGCATTCCTACGCTGCTTTTTCACTCCCTATTCCCGGTACATTGTTCTTCTTGGTCGGCGATTATTATAATATTATATCTAAGGTACCGTTGATCTTTTTCACGAATCAACCTTCGATATTCAAAAATTCGGTTGTACCAATTTTGTAGGCCTTTCGTAGATTTCGAGTTCACAGCACCTCGGCCACTGGAATCGAAACGAAAACCGAAAGAACCTTTTTTCTCGACAAAGAGACAATCGAGCCGCGACGAGCGATCCCGAAAACCATCGAGGACCAGGACGTCGACAATGGCGGTACGGGCCACTCTGAAACGTCAATTATCGTCGTCCAGGGATTGTTCAAGGCTACCAGGGTAAAATGAAATCAATAAACGCGCGGATAATGCATCCGGTTCGCACGGAACCGCCGCACTTTCGATGTCCATTAAAAGGCCGAAAGCAATGATGACTCGGCCCCGTTTTGGTGATCGAGTACGTCGATACCTGTCGTTGTTAAATTTGCATCGATCATTGGCCACGTGACTCGGATTCGAATCCGCGAACGATAGAAAAAATGTACGTGAGACTACTGCAACGACAGATGAATGGACGCGTGTAACGAGTACCGTAGCTTTTCGAATTCGTATTCGTATTTCGAAAAACGTCGCTCGAACGACCGATAAAGAAATCGATCCAGTCCTCGATACATTTTGCGACGGTCGGACTTACGCGAACGAGAGCTGATTTAGAATCACATTATAACATTTATAGTTAGTATGGTAAAATAGAATTCGATGAATGGTTAAACGGCACGTTTTTGGCAAATTTAATATACTGGCGGAACCGGTGACGTAATTTATCGGCCGACCGATAAAACAACGATACGTCCAACCCGCTCGTAGATGGGTCGTGCGACAAGACGGTAACGGGGGATCAATGGACCACGGAATTTTTCGAAACGTCGTTAAATCCCCCGTGTCGGCACGGCTTGGGAATCGATTTCTGGGCTCTGAGCCTGTGGCTATTTCTGGTATCAAAGATATCGAGTTCGCCGCCCGGAGTAAGCGACTTAGCCGTTCATAAGCGGCGAAACGCCGTGCGATTTTCTCTATAACCGCAGCCTTGCGAGACCGTTGCCATCGTTTGGACGAGACGCGAACGAATGGGGCACAACGATATCGTTAATGCGGAATAACCTGCTCAAACTATTCCGAAAACTTGCGCTCGATAGAAGCTTCCTTATACATACTTGGACAAAGCTGATCGTTTGTATTTCATATAAGATCGTCCTCCTTCGTCCCTTCGACGCGATCGGGTCCTTCCCGACGCTTCTCGTATAAACAGTTTCGACCGAAAAGGAGCCTGTGGTAGCGGTCCGAAGACTACGACGGCGGCAAGGGGTGAAAACGACCGAGTCCTTTCGGTAGAGCCACGAGTAACGCGTGGTCTCGGTCTCGATCTCGGTGGCCGCTGCAGCTTACTCGCTCTACAAACGTTCCTTGATGAGATCGACGGCGAGTACCCGGAACTCTGGAGCTCCTCGAGCGAGACTCCTCGAAAGTACGGGGTTGGTCGAGAGTCGTTCGGTCCTCGGTTAACGAACTGAATTTTCGCGAGACGTTGGCCTTTAATGGCTTAAGGAACGGTTTACGACTACCCGCACCGTCGTTCACCCGCGCCAACTATTCTAGCAAATTACTCCACGGGCCGTTCTACCGCTGATCTTCGACAGCGAACGTTTTTCCCTTTCCTGGACGAGCAGTCTTTCTTCCGTCGACGTTGTTACGTGACGCGCGGACTCGTCAAAAGCGGATCGAGCTCGACGGTGCCACAGCGAAAGGCACCTGTTGCCAGCTAATTCTCGGTCGTGAATCTCCCGGGTGACACGACCATTCATCGAGATATTAATAACGCGTGTTAAACGATAACTCGATAATCGCAAGCCGACCGTGCCGAACGATGTGCTCTTCTAACGGAGAAGCTTTTTCCGTCGTTCCCAGCTACGCTTTTTTCGTCGACGATCCTCGAATTTGTATCTTTCTTCGGGGCTCTAGGAAAACGTAACCCCTGAAGAGCTAGAGTCGCAAGGAACGATCGCAGGTTACGGAGTCTCTCGCTGCGAGACATCGACGAAGAGACGAGGTGGAAGCAGAACGGGGATGCGAGCGGAAAAAGAAAGACGCCCGACGGAGGAAGTCGCAAAAGGAGCGGACCAACCGATGTGTATCGCGCACCTGTTGCCCCCCTCGGAATAAGGATTTACATTTTAATAGACATCCGAACCGCCAGCGACCTATTCGAAATTATCGGCTCATTCTCGGGTCATCGAAGCGGACACCGCCGCCGAGAACCACATCGGCGCGCATGGTTGCAACGTCAACGCGATCAATCGAGGAAATTAAAGGAAAACGTTGCTCTAATTGAAAAAGTTTCCCGCGTGGCTGGAAACCGGCCCCGTCCTCCCTTCCTCCGCGTTCGGGTTTTCGGCAAACAGGAGGTATCGCGGTGTTTAAATTGGAACGCGAAGGAATTACGTTTAAATTAGATTACCGGCCGCGTAAATATTGGAATTCTACTCTCGCGAGCGTGGATGGAATCGTATTACGAAATATGAATAAATATCATTCCTCTCGGCGATATTGTACGGTTTACACGGACGGTGACCGAAATGCCCTTTGCCTTCCGGTTAATTTCGTTGATTCCATCCACTTGTTACGCGTTATTCTCAGCCACGGGAGAATGCACGCGCATCGGGAATTTAATTAGCTTAATTAAATCCGAATTCTTGCTGAGCCTCGCGCGTTTCCAGCAAACGTATCCGGATCGCCTGACCTACAATCGCGTCGAAAGATTACGTTTCAACTGTGCTTCGCTTGGTGATCTACAAAGTGTTCCTATATTCTCGATGCAGCGGTAAAGAAGAAGTTCATCTTCCCTTTTAGCGGATCTTTTCAGGAAAAATTAAAGTTTGCGGGTTCCATGCCGAGAACCGATACATCGCGACGAACCGACGCGTCCGGAGGTTCGAGACTGCTAAGGTGAATACAGACTGCCCTGAGGTTACGTGGGTGTTTACGCGTCAGATATGAAGCGGCGTTCAGATCGACCTGACGCGTATCTCACAAAACCACAGCTTGGACGACCGTTGCACGTTAATTGGTTTTCAGCCTAATGTGAACGTAAGCATGAAAAACCCTATGTTAGAATTTTATATCGTGGTACCGATGTCACGTCGGGGCAATCTGTATGCACCTTTAACAGCGCACGGCGAATTCCCTCTCCGCAGTGTTATTCGCGACGAACGTATTCAACGAAGAACTAATTTGAAAAAATATTTTCTGTGACAATAACTATCGGGGTGTCCGCGTTTCGCATTCACCAGTGTCTCGAACGGTTAATGGGTTTCTAGAAGGACCCCCCTTCCCCCCCCCCCCGCGTAGCTTCGAACACCGAGATGGATCGTTAAAGACAGGCTAACGATATTTCTCCGTTACTTTGGCTGTATTTTCACAAAAAATATCTCGCCAGCGAGGATCGCTTAAAGACGCAATTTAATCGGGAACTTTACATTCCATTAAGTTGAGAAAAAACTGCCGTATCGCCGGAAGTACGTCCCTCCTCTGGCTGCTCGCACTCTCTCTCTCTCTCTCTCTCTTCCATTCCCCGTTCTCTCACCGGGGCCGCGAAATGCTTTTTAAAAAGCTGCCTGTCCGTCCGAGGAGACCGTTGGAGGTAAGTTACCTTTTAAGTCATCTCGTCGAACTTTCCCAGCGCTGGATCATTCTCGGCATCGCTAAATAATAACGCATGCGATGTATCGTATCGAACCGGCTCGGACTTCGTTGCGAAATGAACCAGCTGAGCTATTTTCTTCCTATTCGTACACTGAAACGACGTTTCTCCAAAAATAAACTACATATTAAACATGTACGGTTTATTCGCCGCATCTTAATGCCGTATAAATTTTTTAAAGATATTTTAATGCACCAGCTTCAGGAGCGAATGCTTTAATATTTCACCTCGGCGCAACATTAGCGTAGAAAACTTTGAAAAGATTTATCTGTGTACACACTGGGCGAGAGTAATTGAAAATCTCCCGGGTACGGTGATAACGCGGTCACGTAGCCCGCCAGTACTCGCGAAACTTGGCCGTTTCGCGTCGATAAATTATTTTATTCCGCGATTATATTTTATATTTTATCACGTCAGTGTTCCGGGAGACGTCGGGAGTCGCGGTGGCGGCGAGAAAAGGAAAGAAAATCGTAGTCGAAACGGCTGCGAATCGTTCGTTCGGGGACTGTAGTTGAAACGAAATCAACTTCACGGTTCGATTGGAAACATGTTTAGCGGAACCGTGGCTGTTTTGCACGGATCGCAATTACTCGGGCGTACAGGAATCTTAACGTGGATATCGACTGCCTTACTCTTGGATGCATTTCGATTCTCCCGAACGGGTATTCAATCTTCGAATTGCTCGAATATCGCGAGACATCGGATCGGAATACCACGGCTAAAGAGAGTTCGACGACAGACGATTCGCCGATAGCCGTGCCAAAGGCGATCAACCGCGACGCGTCGTTCGCGTTTATCGTTTCGCTTGTATCTTTATGAGCCGCCATCGTTTCTCACGCGGATCGGTGCACCGATGCGAGAATCCACAGGCGAAGGGGCCCGAAGCACGAGAAGCGGGATGGGCGACCAACGGGAAGCATCCTCGCGCATTTAATCCGACGACGACAGGTGCGATCCGTCTTTGTTGTCGTCGTCGACGGCGGCAGTAACGCACCCACAAATTTAACCAGAGGTGCAACGAACGTTCGATAGATAATATGTCAAACTCGTTTGATTCGATCGTCGATGATATCGTGGCATCGATATCGTTTCGACTATGACAACCGGTTGGCGATCGACTACCCGCGAATCGAGCCTACGAGAATCGGAATGGTTGAAAAACGGTGAATTTCAGAAGGGGGTGCATCTGCTCCCTGGGTGCGTCACTGGTTGTTAGCGTCGTCGTAGACGTCTGCGTCGTCCTCTTTCGTCTTCGAGTCGCTGGCTCGGAGTGAATTCGAGTACACAGTCGGCTCCTCGGAACCGTTACCCCCCGACCGCGAAGGCAGCTACAACCAACGCAACCCCCCTCGTCGCAGTAAACCGTGCCTCGTCGTTCCCGTTGTTCTCTTCGTCGTTGTTGCCAGCAGAAGCCAGTTGACGCAGTCGGTGACTCGGCCACCTGGGAAATACCGAGTAATGCCCGCAAAGCTGGTTTACTCTCTCTATCTCTCTCTCTCTCTCTCTCTTTCTCTGGTTTTCCCAAGCGCACCTCGTTGACGCTTTCTTCGTTTCCCTTCCTTTTTTCTCAACGACACTGTCTGTCTTTCGTCCTGTCCCGTCTCGTGCCGAGCACGGGGAGTTCTTCGAGCGCGAAACAGGCAAATGGGAACGAGCATCCGCGAGAATTGCCAGGGACTTTCGTCCCGAGTTCTGTAATCAGGATTACGAACGCGCCGCCCATCCCCAGGCGCTGATGATTTAATTTATCGCGGCCGTTCGTTTCAACTCCTCGCACCACACCCAGCCGTTGCGATCAAGTTTCCTTTCCGACGGGGAACCGAATAAAACGTCTCTTGATTGGCTATTGTCGGCGCGCAACTTGGTCGTCGAAATTCCGTTTGAAATGGAATCGATCCGATTGTTTCGGAGCACGGTTGCTTAAAGGACAACGTCCGTGGCGTGTCGAATTTTCAAAACTGCGTCCGATAATTGGCTTCTCCAAACGTTAGTTGCGACAAGGATATCAGGTGAACCAGGTGTTTTGTTTCCATACTCTAAGATTATAATCGTCTTCGTCAATCTCTTTTCTTCGACGCTGTTCGATCGCGGTTGCCTTTGGTCTTGTTTCCCTTGCACAAAAGGTGCTTGGCCACTTTGTAAGTCGCGTAGAGGGAGAGTGACACAACCGCGACCAGAAAGACGCCTACATCGATGAGATTGCGCTGGTACCACGGCATACGCGCAGCCTCGTTTTTCAAGTATGTTACACTATCGCCTCGGGCGACGTACTCTACCCACCAGATCGCCGTTTCCAACGGTGTTGCGGGCCGATCTTTGAATGCTCTCGATAGCTTTTTGGCGTTATCCCGATATCTGTAAAAAAGAAAAATAGAAAAATAAGTAACAGATTAGCTAATCGTTGCCTATTCTTAAATCCATCGAAATTCGTAAACTCGCAAGCGCAACACGTGCTCCGGAAATCGCAGGACCCGCATATACATAACGAAGTCAAAACAGGAAGAAGTAGGGCGCACCTGTTACGAAGTTATTAAAGTTAAAATAGGAACCAGTAATAGCGCAGGATCACAGTTCGTAATCCCTTAAGACACGTTGACTGCACGAATCTGAAGCCACGCAACCTCTCGAGAAGTTAGGGCAAAACTCACGCTAAAATCATCCGACACTTTCTCCGCTATCCGCTTGTTCCGAACTCTTCGAGAATCCCTAGATCCCTTAGAAATCCAGGTCTTCTCGAAAGATCACCTAAATGCTCAAAGACAGTCCTCGAAATGGACTCGACGTACACCAGAACGTCGGACCAGCGAAGTTAAGCTGACTCGACGCGACAGTTGCTCGCGAGCAAGGCACCGAAACGACACGCAGCGCCAGCGATGTTCACCACCTTAACGTTAACAACCATACGCGATGCACAATACCCGGGTCAACTGAATAATTCATGAAATACAACGATCGATCGGCCACTCGATATCGCTGCGAGCGGAAAAAGATGCCACGGAATACTTTATAAATATCTCCGAGGGCTTTTAACGGCGCGCTTATCGCTCACCCGGAAACATCCCTTTCCATATCGATGAGACGCTCGTCGATGCTGGGAGAGGACGCATCACCCGAGCGAACAACGAAAACAACCTCTTCCAGAATCGATCGTTCGTAAATCACGATCGCGTGGCCTGACCACGATACCGTCATTCATTCATTCATTCATTTAAAGTGCGTAACTTATTATATAAAGTTATTGCACTACTGCTTACTTATTACTAGCTTATTTCTATTCTTCTTATCATCGTCTTACGTGACTCCTGCATTGTTTTAATACTGTTTGCAGTGAAGTAATAAAGGTGTAAACACAGAAATGATACGATAAACTTTACATGTCGTTTCTCTGTTTACAGGTAAGACTATACATATTGTAAATAATTGTGTGATTTATATCTATAATAGTATAATACCGAAAGAAAATAAATTATCCGTATTCGAGGGAACGCCGAATGATGGACCAGAAGTCCGCGCGAGGAACACCACGGACAGCTCGGAAAGAAAAAACAAACGTCCAGCGAAGGTTTGACGAGAAATAACAGCGGTCGGAGAGACGCGGAGAAAAACGGAAACAGACGGAGAAGGAGAGATGGGGGTTGCAATTCGCAACCAGTCCTGGACGACCCGAAGCACACAATTTACCAATCGGTACTCTCCATTATTCGTGTTTACAGTTGCAGGCCGCGAATCAACCTGGTCCCCCCTGTTATTTGCCTCGGTCAAATTCAGTCGCAGGCCTGCGGTGGTTTTGAATTAACCATCAATTTTAAGCGCGTTCGACATCCCTTCCGTCGACGCCGGCGCCGCGCACCCGTCCACGGGGACCGCGTCACGGTGCTTCGCAGGGTGTCAGACAAACGCTGCGCCAAGGGAATTAATTTATTGCCGCGAGAATCAGGGAGGGATGGAAACGCGACGCGCGAACGTTGGAGATATAGTACACAGTGCGCGAGCCCGAGATACTCGGTTCCCAGCCGTTTAATTTCAGAGGAACGTTGATCGACGATCGATGAATGCTGCTGGCGGCATCGGCATACCGACCGATAGGTGATTTGTTCCGCCCCTCGAAATCAATCGAACTCCTCGAGACTACGACGTTCACAAACTCGAAATTTCGAACTACGCTCGTGCTTCTTCTTAGGTTCATTCAACAATGCACGCGCGGTCGGATCATTCGAGAACCATATTCCTCTGATTCAAAATTTCTCGAACAACGATTCCAGCTCGGCAAACTGATCTACCCAGAGCGGTGGCGTTCACGGATCCTAGGGCGTTTCTCTGGTGCAATTAGGATCCCCTAACCGAATAATTCTCCGCGAAGGGTGCCGCGGATGAGTTGCGCATGCATGAGTTTCGGGTTGGAGAGAACGAAGAGGCCTCCGAGTCCCCGCGATAACGTTACAAGTCGGAAAGTAAGTTCGTAACGTGTCGGTGTGCCCGGACCGAGCGACAACGATCCAAGATATCGCGGGAATTATGATCCCCCGGAGATACGAGTCGGCCTCAGAAATGGGGATAGAAATGGGGATAGAAATGGTTCCTCGCGTAACTTTCGCGACATCTGCCTTCAGACTTTCCCGGATAAATAATTTCGCCCGTTTTCCGATAACGTTCCACCTACATTTGCTCCCAACTATTCTCTAGTTCCATCTGGACGAATCGCTGGAGTCTGTCATCGATTACGCCTGGTCCTAAATAGAATTATTTTACGTTCGTTCGAACGTATCGCGGAAAATTCGCGGTCGCGGCGCGTAAAATATCGCCGGTGGTGAGTGAGAAAGGCGTCCGCGGATAATAAATGAGACTTCCGGTTATCGGGATCTTGCCACGGCTCTTCGCCGGCAGCAAATTCTCCGGAAACGAGTCACGAATATTCCGGGCCACGGAGTCGCGCCACGCTGAATATGCAGGTGCACGCAATTAAAATATTCACCGACGTCCGCGCAGACCACCGGGCAAAAGTAATTTTCTCGCGAAGAAGAAATTTTTCAAAGTTAGTTTGTCGGTCTCGTCATGCGTTATATTGACCGACGATGTCGGCGAAATTCGTAGCGCTCCTGCGGCCCGCGCGGAAAGTAATCTTCGTCCCCTCGTAATTACTTCGAAGTTACTTTACGATTTCCCGGGGCTCGTTGTCGCCCGCCCCGCCAACTCTCCGACACGTTACCAACTTACTTTCCGACTTGTAACGTTATCGCGGCGAACCGAGAGGCCTCCTTCCTCTCTCCCAATTAGCCGAGGTAACCAAACTCGCGCACGTATATCCCGATCTTCCGGCGCATTATTCAGGATTCTCCCGCAGCAGTCTTCTAAATTATAAACCATAAATTTTAGATCGTGTTACAAATCGCGTCGCGATTACGCAGTGCGGACCTCCGGGCCCTTCCCCGAAAGGCGAAGTCCATGACGACGGATAACTTGAAAAATAAGTACAGTAAAATATCCAATCCTCCGAAAATTCCTGGACTCCTCGAGTGCTGGGGGATGGTTTCTGTACATTTATCGTAGAGAAATTTGTGCATTTAAGAAGACTTTACCGTGTCGCTAAAATTATCAACCTCAACTTTTCGTTCGGCGAGCGTATTATCGACGCGTCGTTTCGTTCGCGAAACGAGATACAGTTGTAACGCAGACCGCAGAAATGCTTAACAAACAGCCGCTGAAACGACCGCGCGTTCGCGCGCATGGCGTGGCACCCGGCTAATTGGCCCTGAAGCAGAAAACTCCGGCATAGGGTATGTTTCATTCGCACCTGACACAAACAACGTTTAAATCCTCGATTACAGTCGCTCGCGCGTTACGCGGACAGGATATCCGTTTCGCCTACGTGCTCGTTAATTTTCGAGCGTGGTCCGTGCGTGGGGAGAACGAACGCGACACGATTAAACCTCGAAGCCATAAAAATCATTTTCGTAATAACGACGAGGCCTAAGTTGTCACTCGATTATGTGGTTTCGATAAAATGGAGGTAAACTTAAAAATAATATGTTGATCGCTGCGACGAGAAAAAAATCGATACCCGCGTCGATAAATCCCAGTTGTCCGTGAGAAGAGATAAAAATAAGACGATCGCTTATCGAGGCTCGCGAGCCGCGGGAAGAGGTAGGAACGAAAGAGCCTCCGGTGAAATGGCCCTCGGGCCCCGAGCTCCGATCCAATTAGATTTTTAATAAAAGTTTACCCATCCCGGCGCTCTGTCCCGCGAGTCACGTACCGGTTTGCGTCCCTACGGGCTGAGAAAAAGATTAACCAGTTCCCAGGGTAACCAGCCTTTCGACACGGGACTATCGGATGTCCCTCCGCCAGTGGCGTATTGAATAGATACAGAAATATCATGTGTAGCACGTAAATAAAATAACGTTCGTACGGAAGAAGGTTAAAAAGCGTTCCGTGTACTCTTTTCTTTTAATCTAGAGATGGTAACCCTGAACGGGGGAGTAAATACGAAAAGCATAGCCGAGGACGGTTCGCGTTGTCGCTGTAATTCACGGGCGACGAGTTGAATGGAGAATGAATCGGATCGGGAGAACGTCGACGATGTTTCCGTAATTCCGTGGAGGTAATCGATGAACCTCCATTTCAGAGGCAGAACGACCGGCTCGTTGTAAGTAAACGAGATCGCAGTCGGTGGCCAACGGCAATCTTTAACGGAGCAAGCGTTCTCTCGGAGGCATTCAGCGTGACTGCTCCTCTAAATAAGTATTACGAGTTCGAAAGGTGGGAGGGACCGTTGGCAACGAGCGTGGGCGCATAAACTTTTGCCTGTCCGTGGCACCGATTCTAAATTATTCGCGCACCGACGCGGAGCGTCGGACGCGTACAATCTACGTATTCGCAACCCACTCGACCATCGTGTACCGAAATTCCTTGGCAGACGTCGCGCGATAAGATCGGGAAAATACTCGCGCGAAAAGACACGGAGAAAATGTACGAATAGTTTGTGCAAAGTAATCCTCCGTAGGCGGGAACTTTCGTAGGGTGCTGGCCAGTCGTTTCGAATAAACCAATGTCGAGTTAAAAGTCTCGTTTTTCGAGGTGTGCTTTTATTTCTACCTGCCGTCAGGAGACGCGAAACCCTGGATCGCGACTGATATTATCGCAGCGTCGATTAATCAGACTCTCGCGGAACGCATACGATATTAATTCCGATCCGGGGCATTGTCAGATTTTTCAACATGGGAATTTACGGTGCACGGAAATTGCTCGCTTCCCGGCTATTTCCATTTCCAAATGATATTTATGCCTCCGCCGCGTCTACGACGAGAACGTTGCTCGGCCAGACGAAACGTCGACGCGCGTAAGTGGAGCTTTCGAAT